GAAATCGCCGAAAAGGCAGATATCTTTGCAGAAATTCGTGTTCTCTACTGTCTAATGTCCTTATGGGTGTTTTCCACGAACACAAAATTCATCATAACTACTAACTTTTATTTGTGAGATTTAAAAAAAAGTTTTATTGATACTATGGAATGCTATAATATTATGTCTACAGTGAAAGCTTTTGGCAAATATACACGGAAAACTCTAAACTGTGCATAAGAAAGCAGTTTGTCCAATCCCTCTTACTACCACGGCCTTAAACCTCCTTTTTTCCCTTTCAAGTTCCGAACTTTAAAGTATGTATGCTTAATACATATTCTGAATATCTTACTACTATTATTACCAATATTCATATTTTCATACCACTATGCAGTGTTTAGTAGTAATCAATTCTGAGCGATATTCATCAATTAACCATTTTGGTGTGGTTGTGTTCTCTGAGCTGGATGGTTTAGTTGCGAAGCTTTCATTGCTCTACTGAGCAACATCTTCAGCGCATACTTCGATGTGAAGTGAGCTTTTAGAATTCTCTATGAGTTTATTAGTCATTCCTTCTGCTAACCTTGAACGTGATTGGTTGTTTCCATGTGACATTTTACCCCCTAGTTTGCTTGTCTCGGTGCTGGCTGCTTCTTTGGTTTGAATGTCGTTAGTCATTCCTTCTGCTAACCTTGAACGTGATTGGTTGTTTTTGTGTGACTTCTCACTTTCTAGTTCACTTGTTTTGGTGTTGACTGTTTCCTTGACCTGAAGTTTGACTTTGTTTTTGTGTGAATTTCTTCGTATGGATTGGTATATTTTGTCAATCTCTATGTGTCTATTGATTGCTGATTCATTTGAATACCAGGCCTCTAGGAATTCTCTGGCATTTTTGCAGTTCCCTTTGTCTAAGATTTGAACATTGTCCCAGTCGAATTGGTGCCCGTGGTTGTCTGCATGTAGTGATATGAGGGAGTGTATGTCGTGTCTTTTGACAGCTAGTTTGTGTTCGTGAATGCGAAGACGAAGAGGGGGTCCACTTTGACCAATGTAATGTTTGTCGCAGTCGTTGCAACCTATCTTGTAGATGACGTTAGTTTTGCCTTCTTTTGCCGTTGAGTCCTTTGGTTTACATAGAACTCAGTGTAGTGACTTTGTTGGTTTATGAGCGACATCGATTCCAAAAGGTTTGAATAGTCTTGCAGTGATTTCGGAGATATCTTTTATATATGGTAGGACGACTTTCTTTGTGTTTTCGCTGGTGGCCTTTGATTTGGTTGATTGAGCTGGGGGTAGATGTCTTTTGATGAAGTTTCGTGGGTATCCATTTCTTTGGAAGACGTCCATAAGATGATTTTCTTCAATTTTCCTCAAGGCGGGAGTGCTGCAATGAGTCCTGGCTCTCTTGAACAATGTACGTATGAAGCTAATTTTGTGTGATGTTGGGTTGTTACTGTTGTAATTGAGTATTTGATCCGTGTGCGTTGGTTTTCTGTATACTTGGGTTTCTAATTTTCCTGTAGTTCGCATTCACGAACACAAACTAGCTGTCAAAAGACACGACATACACTCCCTCATATCACTACATGCAGACAACCACGGGCACCAATTCGACTGGGACAATGTTCAAATCTTAGACAAAGGGAACTGCAAAAATGCCAGAGAATTCCTAGAGGCCTGGTATTCAAATGAATCAGCAATCAATAGACACATAGAGATTGACAAAATATACCAATCCATACGAAGAAATTCACACAAAAACAAAGTCAAACTTCAGGTCAAGGAAACAGTCAACACCAAAACAAGTGAACTAGAAAGTGAGAAGTCACACAAAAACAACCAATCACGTTCAAGGTTAGCAGAAGGAATGACTAACGACATTCAGACCAAAGAAGCAGCCAGCACCGAGACAAGCAAACTAGGGGGTAAAATGTCACATGGAAACAACCAATCACGTTCAAGGTTAGCAGAAGGAATGACTAATAAACTCATAGAGAATTCTAAAAGCTCACTTCACATCGAAGTATGCGCTGAAGATGTTGCTCAGTAGAGCAATGAAAGCTTCGCAACTAAACCATCCAGCTCAGAGAACACAACCACACCAAAATCATCCACCTGAGCTACAAATCTTCTCTATTATATTAACCATTTTAGATTACGTATGGCTACTCAGATGAATTTCGCAGTTTATTCACCACTTTTCCTGACAAGTAATGCTAAATGTGTTATTACTGAGTGATATTCACAACTAACCTTTATTGGCGTGTTTCTATAACTTTTTAGAACACTATCCAGATAACCGTACAGCTTTGAAGTGAAGCTGCGAAGAGAACATTCTTTACTGGAATTCATATAACATAGGTGTTTTTTCTCTATATTATGTCAGTCAGGGTAGTTTAGACACCATTGACAGAACATCCTACTTGTGATCTAGAGTGACGAAACATTTTAAAATGATATATCAGTCCCCCCTGAATACATTGAATGAATTCTATACTAAAGTGTCATAACAAGGAATCGGTAAATATCAAATAATTTTCAAGTATTGGCTTTGTAGGGAGGATTTCACCATGGTGTCACCATGTCAGCTCAGCTTAATCTGATGCTCACTAGAGACTGGCCCTATTCAGGCAGTTAACCTGGGGTTCTAGTGGGAAGCCGTGACCAGTAGGGTACAGCAGGTTGAAGTTGAGGCAGTAACTCATCGAAGAAGACATTGCGAAATGGTCGCGCTATGTCGTGAATTGGCAGAAGTTAGAATTCAAGGACCAAGCTGCTATTTCATCCTAGTTTGGGAATCATCGGCAGTACGCACCCACTAGGATTCATGAGCCATTGAATCGGGTCCCAGTGGCTTAATGGTCTACGAGCTCGCTAGCCTTGTAACCAGAAGGTCCTGGCTGCGAACCTCGGTGGGTGCGTACTGATGAACAGTCCCAAACTAGGACGAAACAGCTGTCCAATACTCCCAGGTTTTCCAGTGGTTCTCTAACCGATGTCAGCTCATGATGAAGTCCTGTCTTTGTAATTTCTACTCATAATTCTTCAATACTCAAATAGGAAATAAGAGGATATTTCTGTTAAAAAGAAAGCAGCTGACCTCAAACTATCATCCATTCATGTAAAATGAAAGAAAAAAATGAGTATTCATTTTATTTATACATACACCAATAAACTGCTGCGAGACAAGAACAGGAAACTCAATATCTGACCTATATAACTATTGTCCCCAATACATAGATATGTTTCAGTCAGAAAGAGAATCAGTATTAAATTTATACGATAAAATTTATCTCTGAATTGTATAATACCTGAAAAATAGAGCAGTTTATAATCAACACTTATACACATTAAGGAATACGGATGAATAGTAGGGATCCATGTGAAGCCAGGTAATCCAAAAGTAAAGTAGGTGGGAATCATTTGAATTTGATTTTCGAAATTTCGTTTTACTAATCTTCATCTACAAAATGTTGGTTTGCACAGATTTGACTGGTTACGTTATTGATCACGAACTGACAGCAGTTAGAGAACCGTTGGGTAGGATCATAGTGGCTGAATGGTCTACGAGTTCGCCTCGTAACCGGAAGGTCCTGAGTTCGAAACCCGAAGAGTGCGTACTGATGGGTGAGGAGTCCGAAACTAGGCTGACGAAACAGCTGTCTTGTACTCCAAGGTTTTCCAATGGTTTTCTAACTGAAGTCAGCTCGGAATCAACCCTCTAATCTTCATTTGTTTATCCTTTCTTTCATTTGTGACATAAGTGTCCATCTGTCGTTATCTTGTTGTTTACTTCCTTGACGTGAAGACGGTATTTGACTCCGTCAACAGAAAGAGATGCTTTGGCCATGAAGTAAGTTTGTGAAATCATTCACTGCTGATTTGAGCCACAAAAGGAGATAAAGACTATCAGGTTGGGGGTCTCGAGATTCTAATAATATGACTGGAAACTATTTTGGTGACATGACTCCAAATCGTTCTCACAAAGATGCACATGCGGCGTTCATCCAATGAGACTTCCCAGTTCCATTAAACCATCACTATTCTCCATGTCACTATTCTTTCTCCTGTACATTCCTGTTCAACATAGTTCCTTTGAATTTTTTCCCCTACTTTATGTACTACATGGAGCTCGGTAACTTAAAATGCTGTACTTCTGTGCACAGATCTACGTTGACTCCTCACCTCAGTCAATCAGATGAACACAATTTATCCTTCAGAAAAGAATCCCATCGAATAGACAACATCTAACTGAATTTAACAATTTACTTATGTATACGTGAAGTAATAACCGACCTATAGTCATTAAAACTAGTGAAATATACACTAAGCTAATTTTAGATCAGTTCAAACTGTAGCAGCGAAATCCTGATAACTAGAACATAAAAAAAGAGCAGTTCTAAAAATACTTCAAAGCCGATTATTTGTGTAGTTTTTTTGTTGTTGAAGAATGTTTCAATCTAACTATATGTGATAGAATACAATGTATATGCCCAAACTCAAACCGGATAAGTCTTCTTTTTTTCACTCTCTCTCTCTCTCTCAATATTTTACTCCTTCAGTGTAAAATTTGGCATGACAGGATGAGAGATTTCGCGAAGTCATTAAGAAAAAAACACACATGGGATTATGGGCGAACTAGAATTCCAGTGGATTCACTCTAGTATACATATATTTCAACAGCCGTATAACATATCCTATACCCAATATGTATAAATCGTGTAGGTGGGCTAATTCCCCTCTTGATAACAGCTTCACATAAGATAACATTCATATATATATATATATCCTATTTATCTTTTTCTCTCATTTTTCCCCTGGAAAGTACATTGTTTGTTTTAATCTAACTATCTGCTCATTTATTATTCAGGAATGAAAAATAATGTGTCACCTAATCATTTATGCTGAGCAATTCTAGGTAAAGTTTACTTCTACTACTATATTATACATTTCAGTAGTTGAAACAAATAGGCGAAAAAATTCTACTGATAATAAATAACGTCAAAAAACAGACTACTTACCAAGTCCAATACTACGCAGAAAATGTAGAAAATTCATGACTAATTTATCAGGATTCTCTTCCATAACCATTCCTGTACAATCGGGCATCTAAAATATGTAGAAATGAAAGTATTCAATAAATCATGACAAGACTTGGAGACAATCTTTTTATTGTATCATTTCAGAAAATCTAATGATGAAAATATAGTGTTGATGAGGCAGCCATAAGTTTCTGAAACTCATTAGCTATACACAATTTTGTTCGCAAACTAATTCCGATTATTCAAGTGTTGGTTTGTAGGGATTTGATTGATTGATTACAGGATTTCATCAAATCCCTACAAACCAACACTTGAATATCGATGACATGCTCACTGGCGACTTGCCTTATTCAAGTAGGTAGTTATCTGGAGTTTTAGTGGGAAGTCGTGACCAGTAGGGTGCAGCAAGTCAGGTGTGAGGACAAATACTCGCCGAAGACATTGGCTAGGGGTCGCGCTATGTTGTGAACTGGCAGAAGTTAGAATTCATGGGCAGGCCATCGGATCGGGTCCCAGTGGCTTTATGGTCTACGAGCTCTCTGGCCTTGTAACCAGGGTTCAAACCGCGCCCAAAGTAGGTGGGAGAAACAGTTATCCAGTACTCCCAGGTTTCCCAATGGTTCTCTAACCAATGTCAGCTGATGAAATCCTGTAACTAATTCAAATTAATTGATAAATGTATTAGGAGCGATTGAATAAAGTAACAAGGAATCGTTTCTCAGGTAACAAGTTGTACAGGCATGTATATCTACTCATAAAATTACTTATCGTGAGGTTTATATACGCTGCGTACAACTGATGAGCACATCTTTATTACCAAACATGAAAAATATCCACCTAAGAGCACCAAATAAAGTAGCTCTTGGATAGAGTAACTATCATATTGTCTATTCTCCTCTTTTCGTAACACTAAGATTGAAATAACCCCAGTATCAGATAGAGTGAGATTCGATGTCCTAGAGTTCAAATATAACAAATCAGTTAACTGGTTCACTGCACATGGCTTAGCTGTAAATCAGAATACTTCAGGAGAGAGTAATGACGATCATTTCTACAAGAGGAGATCAATTGTGAATAAATAAGCCTGAGATCACAGATATCACTGTGATAGTGGAATTCCTATCTATCATGAACGCGTGATAATACAAGTAGAGCACGTCAACTGCTTACACAACTTAGTATATCACGATACTATACAAAGGCATATATCAAGTGAAGCTTTGATGGTAATCGAAAGAAATATCAGTTAAAGGACATAGAATTCATAAACTAAATTTTCAGTGATGAATTATGTTTAACTAATTGGAGAATGGAAAATTATTCCAGAGTACGATTTTGTATTGCTATTATATGCTATCTTATAAGTAAATAGAACAAAATATTTTATCTAACGACCATAAAGTTGTTTCAATTATGTTTTGTCACTCATTTTCTGTCAGTTTAGGAAGCCAAACTATAACGTCTTCGACTAGTGACTGATATAATGTCGTGCAGGAAGATTCGAATGTTTTACGTGAGCAAAGCGAGACAGTAAGAGATTGAGCTTAGCTAGGTAGTTGGAGGCAATCGATAATTAGCCCTGAGCAAAATTTCGTGCTATTTCGGAACTCATCAGCAAGTCTTACCTGCAGTCTTGAGGGAATTGATGTGTAGACTGAATTATGTCAGTTGAATTTGCAGTAGCTCCACTGCAACGTCTCCGGCTTCAGAATAAGATGAAGCGGGTTCGAATCTCAGGAGGTACTACAAGGCTTTAGATGCACCTTACTGATGAGTGTGAAAAAGCACAAAAACTAGGTACAGGGTTTCGTAACGATTTTCTTCATACACCCTTCTCAAGGTAAAATAAATGTCCTTTCTTTAAAATGACAGAGAGTCTAACTTATAGGCGATGGTGATGAAAATGGTAGAATGCTCGCTACCCACGCAGCAGGTCCAGGTTGCAATCCGGGCCAACTCACATCGTCTGATTTGATAGTTGGCAGTAAACTAGAGAAAGAAGGATGGTTAGGCATGAGACAAGCAACCCCAACCCGTAAAAAACAACACCACCATTACTGAAACTTTAGAGCTTGAAGTTTTATGTTCCTTTCGGAAAGCAGCCGGATGGAAAAGAAGAAAAAATGGGAAAGCAGAGGACGGATTGGGTACTAGAGCCTATTATTAATTTACTGTAAATTGGATGCCACATACAATGAGATACAACTTTATACTAATAAATAATATAAGGCCAAATAATGTATTATATGACTCCTTCAAAAATATCCAAAACTAATCTGCTTCATAATGCCTAGCAGGGAAATCTAGTACGCATAAATCATGTTACGTATTATTGATTATTCATTTGAATGTGTCACAATTTCAGTTCTCCTCGTAAATGCACTAGTACGGCCGAGGGCGGGTGGATTCCGGTCTTTCTTTTAGAATACTGTCATGTGGTCGTGCGTTCCTAGCCTCCATTAGGTAGGTCCTACTAAATATCTTCACACTGCGGGTGTTCTCACAAAGGTGAAAGGGAAAATATTCGGCAATTATTACTTGACTAGTAGACATCTATTGGGATTGGAAAACCTTGCTTCCAGACCTATGGTTACCACGGGCTGCAGAACCCGAAATGATGCCGGTATGCCGTACAGAACCTGTTTTGGTCACCGGCAACCATAGGAATGCGGCTTTGTGGACCAGATTTCTAGTCAAGCGCTTGGAGAGTAGTACCTTATGACACAACCACTTGCTTCGCTTTGAGGAGTGTCTCAGTAAATGGTTAACACAATGATATCAGAATTAATCTGGAGGCAATTTTAACGAAAACAAAGTTATCAATACACATAACTTCAAAATGTACTCTAATTATCAGTTATTATTATTATTGTAGCTTGATTCCGCACAGGATTTTGGTACAAGTATGGGATTTTCAGCATGTAATATCAGTAGCCCAAATTTAGCGGGCCGACCATTGGTATCAGGTGTGTGTCGGCCGGGGATCGACCCTTAGACCATGTGCATGATCGGTAAGCGTCCTAACCGCTGTACCACCGACGCAGGGAAAACCCATCTTAGAATATGCTCTTTTGACTGTTGCCCATCGGCAGGTGGGTATGTGTGCAACTACTAACTTTAGCAGAACTCACTCATTACTACAAAGCCAAGGGATTTATCACTAAGATAGTACCGACTAGAATACAAAAAGTACTAATAATAATCAGTGAGTGGGTTATATTCAGGAAGAGAAATTAACAACAACGACAACATTATTATACTTACCATTAAAAATTGTGTACGTTTTGGATCCATACGTCCATTCATTTCAGCTAATGCACGTGATAATTCAACAGCACGATCACCAGTAACCAAGCATACTTCAGTTTGTATAACTGATGGTTCTTCATTAGTGCTTGTTTCATTATCAGATGGCATTGGTGGACCAATTGGTCGAACTAGGTGAATCGGTGTCCTATCCACATATGATCGGATATAACCAGCTAAATTGGTTGGATTTAGACTACGTGCTAACGATTCATAGAAATTAGCAATATCAATGTTTTCAACTAAACCCTGATTGTAGAAGAAACAGCAGGAAGAAAGAGAGAGAGAGAATGATGGGGGAGGGAGTGGAGGCGAACGAAAATACATCGATTTGATCAACAAAAAAACACAGATAAATTGCACAGAAAATCAAAAAAGTAATTGAAACTCAACCGATGTCCGAGTATCTTTAACTTCGACTGACTTTATTAATTTGTAGGAGCATGTAAAATTAAGTGCACAGTGAAAATAAATAGTGTGTGTCAGTAAGTCTGGGGGTCGACCCTCAGCCTGCAGACGCACTCCTAAACCTAGCTTAGCCGCAAGTAAGTCCGGTGAGAAAGGAAGGTTGAGCATGAGTCTAGCAAATCCACCCCACAAAAACAACAGCACGGCCGCTTCCAAAAATTTAGTGCTCACAAACTTGACACCCTAAGTTCCACTTGCAGTGCAAAGCAATAGAAAAATGAGAAGGGGTTATCCACCAAGATTATTTAGAACGGCATATCCTATTTATGAATAGCGTGGAATAGCATTTCACTTGAATGTGTTTAAATACAGAATACCAGAGTGATACATAAGATATCTTCTACAGATTAGGACTTCACTTCTAATATACATTGCTGAAATCTGTACTATTTAACGAATCCAATCTGAATTGGGTGTTCTTGAACACAAGAGAAAAACGAAATATCAAGTGAGCCTCTTCACCTCTGAGAATGCTTTATAACACCTGAAACGTCATCAATTCCAATTCATAAAGAGAGGTGATGAGTTCAAAAATGTTTCAGTGTAGACTTCGTCATGAACCGCCATCAGTTAGGAAATCATTGAACCCGTACAGCTGAATAGTACTGTGGCGTGTGCTACTGAGAAGATTTATCAGTAGTATATAGACGCAGATTGAAAGGAAGCAGACCATAATTGAAAACAGCATTTTAAGTCAGTGGCTACTGAAGTAGAAGAAGTGTTTACTCCTCTAATCTGGATGTAATTTACTTTGTAGTTAGGAAATAATCTCATTGGACAGCTTTTCATCTCAAGGTTTAGCCATTCAAAAATCAACAACCAATCAGAACAGTTTAATATCAGTTGACCTAGCCTACCTCAAATGTGACTAAAATTGTATAAATGTAGTGTGTTTTTTCTTAGTAAAAAAAAGTCCGTTACCAAGTCTCTTGTCACTGCCTGTTACAGTACCACCATATGATTGTCTATAAATAATGCTTTAGGTATTGAAGACATGGACTAAGTCTACGCTGGTGTTATTCACTTTGACTCTAGATAGTATAATCACTTTATTTGCTGATTTTTCTGTGAAGTTATAGTTCAGTGGTTATGCATTATTAGTGTTGCTGGTTTAACTAGTGTATCACAGTTTGAATTTTGTTGTACTTTGATAGTATAATTGTGATGTTGTCAATAATCCACTGATCATAGCGACTGTTCTGTAGGATTCGCTGATGCACTAAGCGAAGATGACTGTTGAAGAGAGATTGTCAGTTCACATCATGTATATGTTGTACAACAGACTTTGTATTTCATATTGTTTGTATTGTCAACAGAATGTCTGGACTGGTCCCTCCCTAACGTACGTATAATGAGGACATGACCACGTACCCGTTGAAAAGAGCCTAAATCAGCCGAAACAGATGTGTGGTGCCGCTTAGTTTTCCACTTGTTCATGACAACATACATATATTGAAACTAATAAAATCTCTAGAATATCAACATGTACGTTTAATTTTCAACAGCTTTATTTAAGGATACTCTTTTGTATCATAAGTGAATATTTTTACTATTTCGCTGACGTTATCAGTTTGGCACTTCGTCCACATAACACAACTTCAAATGATAAAATAATACAAGAATATATATATATATATACATATTGATAAATCAAGAAAGGAATTAATCTGCAAACTAAACTTACATAACCAAACCAATGTGCCTCTAATTGACTCATTAAACTATCAGTAAGTACACCGCGTTCAAGTGCTGGTAGGTCAGACCAAACATTACGGAACCATTGATAATAGCCATGAGTGGTTGCATTCGGATTTATAAGAAATAAACCCAAGACTTGATCTGGATAACGAAGCTGGTTGGATAAAATGAGAAAAATGTAATTTATCATTGTTGAACAAGACCATAAAAATAAGTGAAAAACACTATTATACTACTGAAGTTTCGATTCAGTAGTAAGAAGTATAAGGGAAACAAACGGTTATAAAAGCCATTGCACCGAAAAAAGTTTTGATTACAGCTTGATTCCCACAGCGTATTTTTGGTACAAGTATGAAATTTTCAGCATGTGACATCGGTAGCCCAAATTTTGCAGGTCAACCATAGATACCAGGTGTGCGTCGGTAGGGGGTTGAACCGCGGACCATGTGCATGGTCGGCGAGAGTCCTAACCAACGCATAATTTTCAGTAGTAAACACTTTCAAACGCATTATTTGGGGATTAAATTAATTTCAGTCAGCTTACATTGAAACTTTCATGCAACTAGTTATAAGGAAAAAAATTGTTCACGGTATAAATCTACTCCACAATAATCGAAAAAGCATTACCCTAGAAAAATCTCAATTTTCTGGAGATAACAGCTGGATAAAAACGAATCAAAAATGTCGAAATTGAATTGAGAGGCCCAACTTAGTTAGTACTGTCTGAAGCAAAACCTCCAGTAGCAACAACAAAAACAACAATAGTAGAAACTCATGACAAACCACCTTACTCTGAAGCTAAGTTCAAGAAATAAACAATTTGCCCCCGTGACATGACTCAACAATCTAAAGAACTCATTAGAATGTCGGTAGCAAAACAACTCCAGCTTTGAGAATACTGAATATGCAACATTTATATGGTGATCTACAGATACTCTAAATCATTTTAGTCCTTTGGCTGGAGACAACTGACCTGCTGAACTTCCGAATGGATAGACTATGTATGTATCTGTGCTACTTTCAAGTCATAATATTTACATTATAGGAAAAAATGGGGAAAGATTGAATCTCCTACAAAACAGTAAGCATTTGCTTTTAACGTTATTACTGATAATGCACTGAACATGATGAGTGGTTTGTGAAACACATGAGTCTTTGAATTCAAATCCACTGACTGAATAATAATGACGGCATAATTCTCATAAACTGTCATACGTTAGTCCTCTCAAAAGAGCCCGGCCTAACAACGATAGAGAATCCTTAACTGAACCAACTAGCCATCTAAGGTTCATTAACTGATCACTATTAGTGCAGGAATTCAGTATGCCAGCAAAATATATACTTCTATCGACTGAAGATTATTCCCATGGGTTCTGAGTGGGACATAGGGCTTCAAAAACACATCTCCATTTCATCCTCTTTAGCTGGCGCCGCGACTACTCATAGTCTCTCACCTCCTTCTCACACAGTTTATTTTATGTCACCCTCGGATGCTCCACCCATCGGTCCCCCCTATTTGGGGTCTACTTGAGAGTTTGCCTCGAGCACGATGTCGACCAACAGTCATCCGGGTGTGTGCCCAAACCATCTTGATTTCCTTCGACATATGTGTTGAGCAATATAATCTTGGTTAATTTGTTCCCAGAGTTCCTAATCGCTAATCTTTTATGGCTATTTATTCCTCAGTATGCAGCCAACGAAGGCAGCTGTCGATAGGAGTCTCCAGCCTGTTGAGAATGCTTTTCATGACGCACCGAATTTCTGACCTATACAGAGGAACTGATTGACTGATCGCTGGTGTTGAAAAGACTGAAGACTACCAACTTCTTTTTTATTTCAAACATACATCCAACGTATTTATGATAAAATGATAATAAATGTCAGGGTGACGATACAGCTGTTATTCACGCTTGTAGTAATTATCACTGTTTTGATAACATATATTTCTGTTTTTACTCTCCTTACGTCACAGCAGAATAAAGTTTCAGCTGATATTGTTGATCTCAGTTGTCAAAACAGTCACATATGAAGAATATGGAAAAGTCTAACAGATGATTATCGATGTATAAACTATCGCAAACAAAATTTATTTACGCCTCACATATTCCCACTAATAGAATAACATAAATACGTAACAACATTGTATAAATAAAGTGTAGTATATAATCCACTAGAGAACTGAAAGGATATACTACTACTACTACTACCACTACTACTACTAATAATAATAATATACAGCAAGATGAAAGCGTTAAGCTGACAGGCATGTGGAATAAGGCAACTATAAGATGTGCTCCACCCAAGGTTTTCGAGCTTACTACACCCTTAATGGATATTATTCTCCCTTCCTCTCTATCCATTCCTGATTAGTCAATAAGTGTGATATTTTGAGATGTGGTAAAAGAGACTAACAATAAAGCTGTTGAGTAGTAGTCATAACAGCAGTAGATGATTTAGTAGGAGACTAATAAGGTGATTTAGGGTGTGTAAAACAAAGCTGAATTTCAGTTTAAATAATCAAATAGTAATCGCATAATTACAAGATAAAAAAAGGAAATACATAAATAAAAAAACTACAAATTCACAAGTACAGTCGTTATTTATGCAGATCTTGAACTCTTCCACTGAAATTACATATGGACATCATGTTTGCTGTTAATCAACTGAAAGTTTATAAAGCAGGCATTTCACTTCACTTATTTGGGAAGTTGCATCGACCAGTGTCAACGGGTTGATCTCTGACGAAATCTGAGCACGGATAGGGAGGGCTAGTCTCGAATATGCCAGTTTAAGCCATCTCTGGCGTAAACGTGATATCCGGCTGTGGACTAAACGGCGTGTATACTGCTCAGCAGTTCGGCCTGTCCTCCTTTATGGCTGTGTAACGTGGCTATTGAAAGTGGAAGACATGAAAGGGCTAGGTGTCATTGATCATAGGTGCCTGTGTTCTATCTCCCGTGTGAAGTGGCATAATAAGGTGAGCAATATTGAGGTTAGGCATTGGTCGAGTGCTAGGTAAGGAAGGTAAATCAATAGACGAGGCTGTGAAGCTACATCGACTGAGATGGTTAGGACACGTCTCACGTATGCCTAGTTATCGCCTTCCTCGACGGGCAGTATTAACTGACATAGGGTCAGGCTGAGAAAGAGCTAGCGGCGGTCAAACCAAAACATGGCATCATCAGCCAATGGAATCCACAAGTTAGTTTAAGCCACGTAGGAAGGTGTAGACTTCCTGGTTGCGGTCCTCGGGACAGTAAACAGCAATGGCTGAAGACAATCGGTGATATGGCTCAAAATCGTTCTCAATGGCTGGCGCAGATGGATCCACTCCTTGTGACTTATAATACTCAATAAAACTTTATTGTTCTTCGATATTGCAATTCTTTTTGCCTCATATCTGTGTTTACTGTCTCTATTTTGCATTTCATTATACTTTCTTCTCTTACTTTGAGTGCTACATGGAGTGAGAGTGGCAACTCGAACTGCTGCACATCTATGCAAGGCTCTATGTTGAAACCAGTCAGTCAGTCAGTCAGTCAGTCAAAGCAGGATCTAATGAAATCATCAAATTTCGGTAGAACCCTTCAGATAGAATACTTTACATACAGAGATATAAAATATATACTATTGGAAATACGTTGTGAAATATAAGACTGATAAACAAATAAACTACATCATGCGAAACGACAGGTGTGACCGTTTTTCAGGTCATGTTCGGATAGATAAGGGGCAGGGAGTATGAGGAATTAAAATTAAGAAAAAATGCATTACAGTTCAATTACATCACTTAGATAAATAATTAGTTATCGCAGAAAGAACTTAAATATATTAAGAATTATAGACTGAGTAATATTATTATTATTATTGTTAATAGTACAAATTTTTTTTTATCCTTCACGTTCCCCAGTGGAACATAGGTCTTCAAGCTAGTGGCTTGAAGTTTCTGTAGCAGTGTTTATTTTACAGGATGGGGTTGCTAGCCTCATGCCCAACCTTTCCTCTTCACCAGCATCATATCTGGCTTAGCGAGGTACAGGAGTGCGTCGGCCGGGGACCGAACCCCGGACCATGTGCATGGTCGGCGAGCGTCCTAACCGCTATGCCACCGACGCAATAGTACAAATGTTGAAACGAATTAAGATACTGCTACTGATAAAAGATAATTTTGAATGAATCAGGAATAATAATAAGAGGCAGAATTGTGTTAATAATAATAATAATAATAATAACAGTTAATAAGTAAAACATATTACCATGGTAGACTCAGAGTGATCACCATTTCCTTTTGTATACAGAGACCTAGTTTGTAAACATCAATTAAAAATTAATCAAAACCAGGGAGTACTGGACAACTGCTTCGTCCTAGTCTGAGACTCCATATCAGTGCTTACTCACGATCCCAGCACGGATCGAACCCGGAACCTTCAGGTTACTACGCCAAGCTTCACAACCACTCCGCTATTTGAGCGGGGATCCAAAGACCTGTAAATTCTAACTGTGTTAATTGATATGTAGATCGATAGCTCGTCTGAATAAAGGGTTACTCAGTTATCTAATACATAGCAAGACAGAAAACCAATGGATTATCCTTTCTCACGCCTATACCGTTTGCCACAGCATACTTTCTCTATTCCTTTCATAAATATACTTCCCGTCTCGTCTTGTTATGTGTTCTCGCTTAAGTAGCGGGCTGGGAAATCAGGTAGTCGTTATAACGCTGTTGGAGCAGACAGGCGATATACATGGTTATCACATCTATACCACATCGGGCATCTCAATTCAATGAGCATTCCATTTCACCTTGATATGGTGGGCCCCACTGGCCACGACTTCTCACTAACGCTTCATGACATCTATCCAGCAGCCTTTAGTGAGTTAGAGATTGATATTTAAACTATCAAGTTTTACAGGGGACCTGGATTAAACTCAATGTATATTTTTTTCATGTCGTGGGCGTATACTACTGAAAAGTTTCAAACTGGAAAGTAACAACTATCCAGTGCTGAATATTTTTTTAATGATCTTTGACTGATTTTGGTTCGTGAAGACATCTAAACTGAAATTAATCAAAATTCCTACAAAAACCAACGATCAAGATGACAGCAAAACAACAACAACAACGGCAACCATGACCACTATGCTTGTGGTAGT